CTGTCTGCTGAGACATCCACAGTCCTCCAGACACATGGGGAGGCTGATGGGGGTGCCCCAGATCTGCCTAGCCCCTCCTCTGCACACCGATGGTGAGGTGCCAGAGTCCCAAACAGGCTGGTCTCCGGGGATAGCGTGTGCCCACCCACCCGTTGGAAGCTCCACAATTCTCCAAGTGCAGCTGGGATGGGGAGGTGGATGTAGAGGCCTCAAACCCACTTCTCTACTTCACTGCACCCAGAAGCCTGGAGGGTCCCAAACAGTCTGGGCTTTGGGCAGAGTGCGCTGAGCACTCACCACAGGCCGCATTGCCTCTGGAACCTGCGATCCTCCCCTGCTTGCTGAGATATCCCCAATGCTTACTTCTAATAAACTTTGGAAAACAATTTGCCAGTGTCACCAATCAGTTATGCGTTCTTTTTCTTAATTCAGATAGAAATTATTAATCAGAAAAGTGTAGCTCTACTAGCGTATCAGAGCTTTACATGCCAATGGTTTTCAGACCTTAGTCTTACAGCTTGGGCCCTGATGCTACTGGTCAATGCCAGACACCACTGGCCAACTCTCCTGGTTGCAGATCTCTGCCACTGCTGGCTAATGCTGGGTGGTGATCCCTACAGTTGCCAGCCACTGCTATTCATTGTCAGTAAATGCTGAGTGTGGTCTGTTCACTATCAATTTGTGGTCTGTCAGATTTTCACTAGCTGGAAGTCTCTGAAACTATCCAGGGCTAATAGCTTCTAGTTTTTATAGATTTCTGGTAAAGCAACTGCTCTGTCTACACTACTCAGAATAAGAATTCGGAGTATAAAAATCCTGAGGTTTATAGGACCTTCCAATCCCTTACAGTCCAAGATATAAATCATGAGAAGATTTATAGCATTACTGAATCAAAACTGATTGGTTGAAATTTGACCCGCTGTTTGGTCTGAATATGAGTATGCTAAATGAGCTAAATTGGTCTAACTCATCTCTCTGATCTGAGCCTAATGATTGGTTTGAATTCAATTCTACTTAATTCAAATTCAAGCTTGCCATAGTCAGGGCAGACATCTCCCAGAGCAGGTGCAGAGTTTCCAGAATAGACACTACAGAATAGACCACATCGTGGAGGCAGTTTCATAGAATGTCAGGAGGTCCAGTCATTTGGTTTTCATGAGATTGATAGAGATAAAATCAGGAAATCTTTAGGAGGCCTAGCTGTGTTGATCACAGTTTACTGGGGTTTGGAGATGTTTGGGATGTTAATAGTGGGTCTGCCTTTGATCACTGATGCACTGGGGACAGTTTCCTTGCTGCTTCTTTAGAGAGACAGTAGCAGCATCTGGAATGGCAAGGCCAGAAAAAGGGGCACCACAGCCCATAGCCACGCAGTGTCTACTGTTAGGGCAGACTGGAGAGTAGCTATGAGACTATTTTAGGCCCGATGGGAGGGTACCGATGTGAGTTGTTCCAGTCAATCCTCAAGGAACCATGGGGGAATGAAGGGAAGTGAGTGGAAAGGCATGACAGCTGTCAGCCAAACTATTCCCCCCTCAGATCGTCACAAGAAAAAGGGCAGAGTTAGGCACTTCTGTCTCAGCAGTTTCTTATAAAGATAGACACACACTCACCAGAAATTAGTTCCTAAGTACACACAAGATAAATGAAAATATATGTACATGAAGACTTATGCATAAATATACAGAAAATCTTAATTCATTATAGCCCAAATCTAGAAACAATCAAAATATTCATATTGGAGAAAGGCTAAATAAATCAACAAATATCCATACAATGGATTAGTAGTCTGAGTTAAAAGGGAACAAATCATTAGCATATGCAACAATACTAATGAATCTTGAATGCATTATGTTCAATGAAAGAAGTTAGACACAAAAAGGTACAAGTTGTATAATTCCATTTATATTAAGTTCTAAAACAGGCAAAATTGTCTTATAGTGATGAATATAAGATTAATGACTGAGGTAGAGCGCAGGGGTGGAACTGACTACAAAAGGCCATAAAGGAACTTGCAGGGCTACATATTTTGATTGAAGTGATAGTTACAAGGCATAAATTACCCAAAAATCACTAAAATATGACTTAAAATCAGTTTAACTATTCTGATATATGAGGCATACAGCACTCCAGCCACCTATAACCAAAACAAAGCTACACCTAGGCATGCAATAATCAAGATCCCAGAAATTCAATATAAGAACAGAATATTAAAAGCTGCTAGAGACAAGAAACACATAACCTATAAAGGAAGGCCCATCCAAATAGCGGCAGACTTCTTGACACAAACCATCAAGTCAAAAAGAGCCTGGAGCAAAATATTCCAAGCCCTGAAAGAAAATAACCTCCAGCCCAGATTGATATACCCTGCTAAACTATCTCTAGAAATTAATGGAGAAACAAGATGCTTTCAAGACAAAGAGGAACTTGGGAAATTTCCAACCACCAATCCAACTCTACAGAGAATACTGCAGGGCATTCTAGAGAGAGAGAAATGTACTAGGATTCCAGGAACAGTGGCAGAGTGGGCTCAATGAATGGAGCAGAAAACAGAATGAAGAAGATAAGCAGACAACTGATGGCAAAACATCATAATAGAAATGAGGCAGAGAAGATTTTCTTCAAAACTGATATGATTGATAGTATCAAGTCTGAGAGTATAGGCAACTACACTCGAGATGACAAGACTCTACAATACACATTCTGGTTTGATAACTGCCAATTTTTGAAGTTCTATACTACATATAAAGTTGTGTTTTTATTAATACTCTTATGTACTGATATATTCAAGTATACTATGTCTGATGATACAGCCAATTGCATTGGAGATAACAAGAGACACAACAGGAACCATGATAGAACTCTTTGTACAATGGTCCTATATGTTTATTTTGTTTCATGTGTTTATAGGAATATGTTTTGTTTTGTCTTGCTTTGTTTTGTTTCTCTCTCTAATACAGAAAGTATAGAAATACATCTTAAGACTCATGAATGTGTAGAATCTATAAATAGTTTACGAAAACTGATCTTATGACACATGATGAGATGAACAGATACTTTGAAGAAAAAGAGACACTAAAATACCCAGTGCTGATCCTGGAGTGTCACAATGTGAAACCCAGAAATAGTATTTTTCTTTGTTCAGAGTGATATTAGTCTGCTTGGGTTTACTCAATCTCAACATAATTGAAGATATGGATAACTGCATGTATGTTTAAGTGTATAGGAATGATAACCATATTTCTAAGTTTTTGTTGGATAGTTGAACAGAACTGATTGCAATCTCACTGTTTGAATCCCCACTTTATATGTTCCACTTTAGTATCCTGAATAACTATTTTTAAGAAGACAACCTATTATCATCAACTAGTGATTTCTTACTATTTATTTTTTTCTTTGAAATTATGCATTATTTCTACCCGTTTTCTGTTTTGTTTAGTCTTTCTTTAAATTAGATTTATAAAAAAAGAGATACTACAGCACCCAGTGCTGATCACAGTGTCATGAAGTGAAATCCAGCAATACTATTATTCTTTGTTCAGAATGATTTTAACCTGCTTTAGTTTGTTTAATCTCAACATAAATGAAGATGTGGATAACTACATGTATGTTTAAGTGTATACGATTGACAACCATATTACTAATTTTTTGTTGGACAGTTGAACAGAATTGTTTGCAGTCTCACTGTTTGAATTCCCACTTTACATGTTCCATTTTTGTATCTTGAACAACTATTTTAAAACAACAATATGTAAACATCAACTAGTGATTTCTTACTGTTTATTTTTTTTCTCTGAATGTATGATTTCTACCTATTTTGTTTTGTTTAGTCTTTCTTTAAATAAAATTTTAAAAAATTAAAAAAATTAAAAAGTACAAAAAAACTCCCCTTAAATATGGTAAAACTACACAAATGCTAACTTAAAAAATTATAACAATATTGTGTTATATTTAAAAATCAAGATTTATGATAATGGGACATAATATAGAAAAAGGTTGTTGACATTAAATTATTCTAAGGTATTTTGTTTAAGAGAATGCTAAAAGTAATTTACTTTGCATTTTGTGGAGCTGAGTATACATAACAAAATTTCTAGGATACCTATTAAAAGATAGAAATAGAATACATAATTTTAAAAGCTAGTATTAAAAAAGAAATTAGAAAAAATAACCTATCCAATTCATTATAAATGAGATGAGAAAGGAGAGAATAAAGAAACATGAAAACAGTGGGACAAATAGGCACAAAACAAAATGAGTAAACATAGTAAATGAAATAGAAATAATGCTATTGATAAAATTAGCATGGATTGCTGGCTCCCTCTCTCAGAGTAAGTCCAGAAAAGCTAAACATGAGAGAAACGTGGATTCCAGGAACCTACAAAATGACAGAAGCATGCAAAATTCTGGCAAGACTTAAGGTTAAAGTAAGCTAATACAGGATGTGTTATGGAGCTAGATGCCTAAAGTCAACAAAAGGAGTGCAGCTGGAGGCAGCAATGAGAGCATAGGGGAAAAAATCTTATTTTAAGTCTTATTGTCTCTTTCCTTATTATAGAACAATCATTTCTTGCCCTTTTACCCTAAACACAAGATAAATACTGGGGAGGAAACAGTAAAAAACAGTTGTGGACTGACTTTCAACATTTCATCTCCTTCCTCTCCAAACTATATTACAAAGTCAGTTGGCATATTAATTTCTGGTTGTTTTTTTGTCTTTCAAAAATGTGATGTAATATATGTGTGTGTGGGTGCCTTACTGTTTCTACAGTCTCTACCATTGCTCATTGCTGTAACAGCAGTTTCTAGAAAAAAAAAGAACTTCAGAATATTTCTATCCTTCAATGATTTAGGAAATCTAGGAAGAGTTATAATTTAGCTTATGTACTTTCTGTTACACAACTAACTATGGATAAGTGAGCCAAGGGGCTTTATGAATTCTATTTTCTATGAAAATTGACATTAATTTTTAAAGGTCACTGGCTTAAAAGCCCTTTTACCTTAAGAGATGAACTAATAATAACAGTCGTTGTCCACTTTATTCTTTCTTGTTCACCACTTTCAGCCATCTGTATGTCTTTGGCTCAGCCAAGTTTCTAATGATGTCAGAATCTGAGAAAATTAAAAGCAAAATAGATGTATGAAAATGTCTGTTTGATGACTAAGGCAGAAATAAAACTTATAGTAATATCAACATTTGAATATCACCATTTGACAATACAAAAAGAGTATCTTGCAATACATTTACAAGAAATACAAAGATAAGGTTCTTATGTCAAGAACTGAACAGTTTGAGTTTTTATCTTACTTGCAACCTAAAAAGTTAGCCTGCTAGGTTTTCATGGATACAGAAAAAAGATGACTCAAAAACAAAAGGACAGATTTTACTCACAGCAATAGCAGTACAACTACAGTATCATCATTTTTTTTATACCAGTCTCCCAAGCTGAGTTTCTACAGTGTGATGGGATAAAGGTCAGGTGACATCTGCACACACAGTGGGTTGTAATGTGGGAAAGGAATCAGAGTACAAGGCCCAAATATTATAAATAAATCTGCCTTCTACTCTGGAAGGAAATACTGTATCCTACAAAGCTATTTGCTTTACAAATATCTTTGAAAAGATAGTCCAGACATTGAGGGCTGAATAGTTCCAGTTCTAACAAGCACACAGGCAATACTGATGATGCTGGTCTAGGGACCCCACCTTGTACAAATATTTTTAAAAAGAACCACTGTTTCTAGGGAAGGAAGAGCTTTCAGGAAACAGAAATAAAGCACTATACAATAGAAACCAAAGATAAAAGAAAATTATGTACTAAGAGAATTTCAAGAAGTTGGTGGGCTAAAGTCTCTACACTACATAGCTGAGATAGGTAGAAATAAAATAAAAATGAATTGCTACAAATATAGTAGCATAAAATTATCACTGTGCTCTAAATATTCTGATTGACATTGAACACCTTTAGGCCAAGTTTTCACTTCTGTGAAATATGTGTCTTTTGCTCATTTTTCTATTACATTTTCTTTTTTCCCCCTTGTTTACAGGAGTCTTTTATATAGTCCAGACATCATCTCATTATCAGTTCAGTGTCCTATCCTCATCTTTAGAGTAATTTTGATATATGAAAATTATTATCTCTAACATGCTCAGATTATCAATCTTTTCATTTATGGTTAGTGAGTGTAAACTAGTTACAACAGCAAAAGAATTCAGGATGCACACTCAAAAAACTAAAACTAAAAATCCTGTTTGTTCCAGCTATACTTATTCTGAGCATATTCCCAAAAGAACTAGAGATATCATGCTATAATGATACATACATATACGTGTTTATAGCAGTGCAATTCACAATAGTTAAGTTCTGGAAACAGTGTAGATGCCCACTAATGGATGAAGTGATACAGAAAATGTAGTATTATATGCAAAGGAATTTTATTCAGCCATAAGGAAGAATGAATTCAAGTTATTTGCAGGAAAATAAGTCAGACACAGAAAATTAAATAGCACATAATTTACACAAGAAATCCAATTATACATAAAGAGTAAAATAAGGTTAGATTTTTTTGGAGCAGGGTAAGAAGAGGATAAATGCAAGGAGGGAAAGAAAGTAGATATAAATGACCAAGGTGTGTTTTAGATGTATACCAATTCCCCAGAATGAACAAATATGATTTGTTTAAAAATCCTTTGTTTAAAAACAATTTAAAAATCCTTCTTTACTGCAGTCATAGAATATATTTTTAATAGTCATCTAAATTTTTAGCTTTTCCTTTCACATTTAAGTCTTTAATCCATCGACATTTTAAAAATAGAATCTAAAATACATGTCCAACTTTATTTTTTAAAAATGATAACTTACTTGCCACAACACTATTGTGCATTGAGTAATAATCTCTGCTTCCTCTGGTCATCTGTGGTACCACCTTGGACACATATTGTTTCCATATATGCACAGATCTATTGAGATTCTTTACTCTTTTGTTTCAATTATTTCTAAGCCAGTGCCACACTTTTTAATTATGGCAGCTTTACAAGAAGTTTATTTACATAGAAAATTCCTCTACCTTATTCTTGTTGTACTGCTATAGACATGCTTGTTTTCTTCTCCAAAAATTTTAGAATCTTGTAAGTTGTTTTAAAAAAATTTATCAACAAATTTGTTAAAATTAGTCTTATCATTATAAAACAATTTGGGAAAAATATTTATGTAGCTGAGCTTTTAATCTATGTATATAGTATATCTCTCCATATATTTAGAACTTATAACCTAACATTTCCATTTAACATTAGGGTCACAAGAATATATCTTATATATTTTTCAGCTATGTAATGGCTACATAACTTTCTCTCATATGGATATGCCACACTTAATTCAACTGTACAACCAGTAATTTACTGGACATATGACTGGGCCTCCAAATTTTCTAGTAATAAATGACTTTGCAATAGAATAGCATTATCCATCAAAGCCATAAACATCAGTCTTCCCTAATTAATTTTTAGTGATTCACTATGGCCTATAAAACAAAATCCAAACTCAAGGGATACATATTTTTTTTTGCCTCATATCATGCTATTCTTTTACATATTACATATGTAATATCTATTCTGAACAATTTTTAATCCTTAACCATGATATGCTTTTTCACACATAGGACTTTTATGTAGTCTAAAATTTTCTTCCTCTTCTGTTACTTTTTTGTTTTGTTTTGTTTTTTGGTACCGGGGATCGAAATCACTACTGCGCGCTTGCAAGGGAGGTGCTTATGCCGCTGAACTGAATCCCTGGCCCTGAGCTAAATCCCCGGCCATCTGTTACTTTTAATAATAAGCAGTTTGCATTTACCTCCTCCAAAAAGCTTTCCTGTTCCTCCACAGATAATTAGGACCTTGCTCCTCTGTGGTCCTGTAGCATCCCAAATATATCTGTATCATATCACTCATTAATACAGTCATGTAGCTGTATTTTCAATCAAAAGACTTCTCATTGGAGGCTCCTCAAAGAAAAGAAATATGTTTTACTCACCTTTGTATTTCCAGTGCCTTACTCTTACGCTAATTATACTTAGTCTGCAAGGCAGGCATGATGATGCACATCTGTAATTACAGCACTCTGGGAGGCTGAGGTAGAAATATCTCAAATTCATGTTCCACCAAGGGAACTTAGTGAGAATTTGTTTCAAAATACAGAAAGGGTTGAGAAATAATGGCTCAGTTCAAAGGCTCTGGGTTCAATTACCAGGACAGAAAAAAAAAGTAGAGTCAGGCACAAAATAAAGATCACAAGTTGGGAATGAGACAGTTTTGGTTGACTACCATAGACATTAGAGGAAGTCTGTCATCTCCTTTTCTTTTTATGTTGTAAGTCTTCTTCATAGATGACCAACCTAACTTAAAAGACACCATCACTCACTATGTCATTTTCTTTCAGGAAAATCAAACCATGTTTTCTAAGTTTACCTGAGAAAGCCTTGGAACTAGCACAAGCATTAACCAGTATCAGACATCTATAATGCATTCTAATTTTCCATATCAGGTTGAATTGATATGGAGCCTGGGTATAAAAGAATTTACAGCATTTTATAGGCAAATATATGTATTTGGTATATAAATGGATTAACCATTTTCAATATAAGTGAGAAAACCAAAGTATTCTACCATCATTTAGTTGATGTTGTTGGTTAGTGGAAGGTGACAAGTATATACGAATCCATTAGACACTGAATATGATTTCAAAACCTATGATATGAATCTAAAACTGCAGTTAGTACACATTAAATATCAAAGTAACTTGTGGATGTGGTGCACTTGAGAGGCTGAGGCAGGAGGAGTACCATGATTATGAGATTAGCTTGGCTACATAGTGAGTTCAAGGTCAGCCTGGGCTACATAGCAAGACCCTGTCTCAAAAAACCAAACTAAACCAACCTTCCCAAAGAATAAAGTAATCTGTGGAGGCAGACATTATTTTCCAATTTTTTATTAGTATATGTTTGTGATACATAATAATTACATTCATTTTGGGAAATGGGTACATACACATATTGCATCTTGAACATTTTTAGTTCCTCTTCTCCCTATCCTCCCTGTCCCTACTTCTTTCCCATCTCCAAAATGTGTACTCCATTTTCCTACTTGCACTCCTTTACTTTGCTCTTTAAATTATTTATATTTTGGGTTTCTCATGTAAGAGAAACAAGGTTCTCTTATATGACCTTCTATGTCTAATTATTTCACTCAGCATGATGGTCTCAAGATCTACCCATTTTCTTATAAATGAGTCAAATTTATCCCTCTTTTATGGCTGAGTAGTATTCCACTGTATATACATACACCATATTTTCTGTATTAACTTATCTGTTGGTGGGCATATATGCTGGTTCTATAAGTTAGCTATTATGAATTGTGCTCCTATAAAAATAGGTATGTATGTATTACTATTAATATAATCATTTTAATTTCTCAGGGAACTGAATGGATAAAGAATAGTCTTTTTAATAAAACATGTTGGGACAATACCTACTTTTTTAAAGATAAAGTTAGACCTGTACTTCACATCATACACAAGCAAACTCATAATGAAACATAAAATTATAAATATTTTAGAAGGAAACAGGAAAAATCATTGTGGTTTTGGGGTAGGCAAAGAGTTTTTAAATGTGACATTAAGAAAAAATTAATAAGCTGAATTCCCTTAAAGTTAAAAATTTATCCCTTCAAAATACAGGAGAATTAAAAGACAAGATACAGACTAGAAGAACGTATTTGGCAGTCACCAGGACTCTCCCACAGGAATCGAGCAATGACGGGGAGAAGCCAGTACAGCCTCTGCATGCATGCAGATTGTCATAGGGACTCTCTTGTAGGTAGCCAGTGAGTACTGGAGAACCAGCCAGCCATGCCTTGGAGAAGCTGTGAGTGTCTGGAGAAGGCTTCCATGCACCCCACAGCCTCCTGAGGAATCTGGATTAGTAGAAACCAAGATTCCTGATCCATCCCCTTATAATGTAGACAGACAGACAATGTGGAAAGCATCTAGGACCCCACAATGTACTCCTCTGGAAGTACCCAGGAAAATGTCAAGACTAAGGAGCAAAAGGCAGTTTCTGG